GTGTTGACCCAAGAGTGCTGTTTAGCGTCCATGTCTGTGTGTCTTGTTGGTGGCAATAATTATTTTTATTCCATTGTGGTTTTATTTTGAGCTTATGGAATTTGTTTATGTTTGATTTATGGCTGAAGATATTGTTGATCTTGGAGTATGTTCCATGTGGTGATGAGTAAGATGTATATTCCATGATTGTTGCGTGAAGTGGTTTTGTGGGTATCTATTAAGTCCATTTGGTCAGGTGTCAAGTTAAGGTTCCAAATCTCCTTATTGATTTTTTGCCTTGATGATCTTCCTAGGGTTGTCAGTGGGGTATTTAAGTCCCCAGTTATGTTAGTGTTAGAGTTAATATCCTTTTTAAGTTTACTTAGTAGTTGCTTTATAAATCCCGGTGCTCCTGTGTTGGGTGCATATATATTTAGGATGGATATTTCTTGTTGATGAATTGAACATTCTGTCATTATGTAGTGTCCTTTTATATCTTTTAAAATTTTTGTTAGCTTGAAGGTTATTTTGTCTGATATTGAAATTGCAACTCCTGCCCTTTTTTGTTTTCCGTTTGCCTGGAAGTTTGTTTTCCATCCTTTAACTTTGAGTCTGTGTGTGTCTTTTGTAGTAAGTTGTGTTTCCTGAAGGAAGCATATTGTTGGGTCATATTTTTTAATCCAGTTTTCCATTCTGTGTTTTTTTGGTGGTGCATTTAATCCATTGATTCAGGCTTATTATTGAAATGTGAAGGTTTATCCCTTTCACGAGGTTCTTATAAGACTGTTTTGTTTTCTTTTGACTTTTGGGTTGATATATGTGTGTGAGTTCAATTTTGCATTTATGAGGTGTTTGTGTTGATTCTATGTTTACCTGCATTCTTGGGAAGTGAATGGTTGTTCTTTCTTTCTTTTTTTTTTCCTTCTGTGCTTAATTCCTTCTTGGGTATCTCCTGTAGAACTGGTCTCAAAGCAGCATCATCTTTTAGGGATTGGATGTTTGAGAAGAATTTTAATTCTCTATTGCTGATGCAGCTGAGCTTGGATGAATAGGAAATCCTTTCAAAATTGTTTATCTTTGAGGACTTTGAAAATTGGGCTCCAGTCCCTTCTAGTTTGTAGTGTTTCTGCCAATAAGTCTGCTGCTATTCTGATTGGTCTTCCCCAGTAGGCAGTCTGACCCTTCTCTCTCATTGCCTTTTGGGTTTTATTTTTAATACCTACTTTGTGTAGGCAAATTACTATGTGTCTAGGGGTGGTCTTCTCATGTGATGTCTTGTGGGGGTTCTGTGAATCTCTTGTATTTGTATGGTCGCATCTCTGGTGAGATGGGGACAGTTTTCTTGGATAACCTCCTGGAATACTTGTCCCAAGGTGTTCTTTGTTTCCCTTTCTTCTTCTGGAATACTGATCAGGTGTAAATTTGACCTCTTGATACAACTGCACATCTTGGAGGCTTTGTTCTTTCTGAGTTTTCTTTCTATGTTTTTAACAGATCAGGTTACTTCCAGGTTTCAGTCTTCAGTCTCTGAAATTCTTTCTTCTGCTTGGTTAATTCTGTTTTCGATGCTTGTCATCTTGTTATTTATTTCCTGTATAAAATTTTTTATGGCCAAAATTTATTTTACAAGTTCTTTCAATGTTGCATCTTGTCTTTCTTGAGTCTTATTCACTCTTTCCATCTATTCCCTAATTCCTGTTGTATTCATGGACCAATTACTGATGATTTCCATTATTTGGGCTTTGAGGTCTGATTTTTTGGGGTATTACCTCCTTAGGACACTGTCTTCTTTCATTGATTTTTTCCCCTCATTTTTGACAGAGCTCTTTCTTTTTTAATTCTTTATTTAGTGGTAGGGGGTTGGGTTTTCACTTCTGTTGTTTGCTCAGCCTTCTATTCTGCCCTGATCAAAACCTCTGAATTTGGTCTCTTTTCACACAGGGCTGGGGGTAGGAAGCTTTGTTGTTGTTGTTGTTGTTTATAGTTTTGAGAGTCGAATAAGGTGGAGGGTAGGGAGCTAGGATTCAGAAACTACTTGGAAGTTACAGTGCTTACTAACTGGTGTATGGTCCTCCTGAGACGTACTCCCCACCAGTACTCTATATGTTGACCAAGTGGGTACCTGTGTGTACCCCATGAATCCAAGATAAAGTAACAGTAATGAGGAGAACAGAGAAAAATAGATAAAAATAATAAAAAATAAAATAAGGCACAGAAAAATAAAAGCAAAAAAACCCAGAAAACAAAGACAAAAAGAAAGCAAAAAACAGAAACCAACAGAAAATAAAACACACAGAAAAAAACAAAAAACACAAAAATGAAACCCACATGTGTGCGCACACATAAACATAACAAAAAATGCAAAAGGAAGGAGAAAAAGAAAAATGAGGAGGGGGAAGGAATGCAAATTGAATCCTCACACACATATTCACACATACAGACTAAACCAAAGCAAAAGAAGAACAAAAAAAACCAGAAAACAGAGAAAAAAACAAAAACCACGAAAACCAAACATACACATGTGCGTGCGCGTGTACACAAACACACACACGCACACACACACACACACACCAAATGAAAGAGGAAGGAGAAAAATAAAAAAGGGGGAGGAAGAATGCAAATTGAACCCTTATGGGCACACACACAGACTAAACCAAAACAAAAGAAAAACAAAAAAGAATTAAAATAGAATTTCTGAGCACTAATTGCCCTCTTATGGCAAGTTTTGTAATTATTCCTCTCAGCTGCTCACAGGTAAACCTGCCTGCTATTTCCTGTGGGGCTGGCAGCTCATTCACAATCTTCCCCATACACAGTTCCCCTCCCCCCGGGGGGGGGGGAGGGGGGAGTTGCAGTGGGGGTGGGTGGGGTATCAGTCCTCCCCTCCCACTCTTGTAATGTCAGTGGAATCCCCTCTGGTGGGGAGGTGTGGGATTGTCTCTTCTCTAGGTGTTGGTGGTGGGCACCCAGCCAGGCTTATCTCGGAGTAAAGTTCTCCTAGCCCGGCAGCCGTCTAGGCTCCACCTGTGTTTGTTCCTCTCAGTCATGTCCCAGCCGTGTGTGTCTGATGTTCAGAGGATTGCTGCAGAGGAGGGGTTGGGTCAGCCCAGGACTCACCGCTGAGCTCTTGATGAGGGGGTCTTCCTTGTCCTTTCTGGTCGCCTCCTTTGTTTCACAACTGGATCAGAGTAGGGGGTGGGGTGCCTGAGACTCCACATCATCCTGTCCCCCTGAAGTTTGTGCTTTTGGGATGTTCCCTTTGAGTCTATGATCAGACCCTGAGTAGTTAGCCCGCTGGATCTGTTGCTCCATGGTGCGTAAGCTGGAGCATTTCCCTGTCTAGTTTTCAAGATGGTGGCAAGGTACCTCTTCGTCTTTTCCAGTGGGACTCTGCCTCTGGCTCCCTTACTGCTCTCCTTCCGTGATCCTTGCTGCCAGTGTCTGGCCTGGTGCTGTGGTGGTCAGACAGTCTGGCAATAGCTGTTATTCCTGTTTTCCCTGGGAAAAGTTTTGTTGACTTTAGAAAATGGCACTTGGCTTTTGTGTCCCAGGAGGTGCTAGGGTCCAAGCAGAGCAGCTGCCGGCACCAGCTGCTTCACCAGGAGAGCCCTGGCCACTTACTCATGAGTCCCCACTCAGCTACTCACATGCCCACTTACAAACAGACGTGCATGCAAATTCTCTATACACTCACACAGGGATTTGCACAGTCTGGCTGGCTCCACTGTCATCTTTATTTTCAGTTCCTGATATTAATTTAAACTAAAATTATATTAGAAGTAAAAGAGCCAGTTCATGTGAAAAGGGGCATAGTCTGAGTGATTTAGGCAAACGCATAATGACAGATTTAATGGTCTAATATATTACGTTGGTAAGATTACGTGACTGTGTGAACATGCGGAAGGCAACCTTGATGGTGGTCAAGAACACGGAATTTGGTGTGAAAGAGACCATGGCTAGGGCTTGGAGTCTTTTATTTGATGACGGCTACTCTGAGCAAGTTATTCAATCTCCCTAATATTCAGTTTTCTCATTCATAAAATGGAATTGATAATGGACTATCTATGGTTACTATGAGGATTAAATCAGCTAATAAGCCTATAGAACTCTTGGCATGATGGTATTGGCATATAGTAATTGGTCAAAGAATGAATGGTTATTTAAACACAGGTGTTTATTGACTGATTGAATGAGTGAATGAATGAATATAGAACTAGCTTCTTGTTTCTGACAAAGGAACTATCTTTGTTTCATTTAATTTCACTTTATTAAAATTCAGGTTGGCTTTTAAAGTGAATTTGCTGATGCAAATAATCAAATTCTGATTATTGTAGAGTTATGTATCTGTGGAAGGAATAAGAAAAATTAGGTAGCTAACATAGCACAAATTTGATTTTGAGAACAGTCTCTGTTAAGATCCGTGGTGCTTTTCAAGGTAACATTTTTGTCTGTGAATGTAAAGCTCTCTTTAGTGCATGTCAGAATCACCTGGTCCTACTGAAATGCAGATCGCTAGGCCCAATCCCCAGAGTTCTGATTCGATCTGAGATGGGACTCGAGAATTTGCATTTCTAACTTGTTGCCAGGTGATGTTGATGCTTGTGGTCTGGGAATATACTTTGAGCATCACTTCTTCATAGTAAAAATAATAACAGTTAAACAATTTAACTCACTTAGAAATGGTAGCAAAAGGGCATGTACTTAAATATATAAATGATCTACCCCAGCTGTGAGTTTTTTGAGTTCAGCAAAAATTATAAAATTTTTGGTATTTGGTTGTTTAAACAATTTCCCTATGTATGCTTTTCTCTTATTATTGTGTGGTGTCCCTCTTTCCCTTCCCCTTCCCTCCTTCTTCCCTCTCTTTCTCTCTAATCCGATTTTTAACGTGAATACGCTTTTTTTGTTCAAAGCAAAAGTAAACCATTTGCATAGCCTTGTGGTATTATTAAGTTTGTTTATAAGCTATTTCTGCACAGTTAGCTTTTGTACTGAAACATGTTTTCTTGCTTTTGTTGCAGTATGGAAGAGAAGAAAGCGACTGGACAATCGTAGTATCCTGAATGAACAACACAGATACCACCTGTATGCTATTAGGACAGACTGCTGCACTTGAACTGTGATAGATTTTTTTGGCTATGTTAGTTGCTGTGCATAATGTAGTGTGTATTATTAGTGTGTTACAAGGATGGTTGTTTCTTCATGCCAGAGAAAATGAATTGCAATCATCAAATGGTGTTGGGTAAACCTGGTAGTAGTAGCTTACTTACCTTTCCTAGAAAAAATATTAATGTAAGCCATATAGCACAGACTTGTCCTCAGTGATTTTAGTGCCTCCTTAAGTGCTTCACTCAGATCCTAAAATGTTTGTTTATACTTTAGTATAAGTTATGTTCTGCTTCTCAACCAAATATATATTTTTTGTGTGTACGTATTTAAAAGCTAATTTGAGTCAATTTCATAGATAACATTTCTTGTGACATACATCTTCAGAAAGTATTTTGTTTTTTTAAAATCATGACTTGGAAAACTGGATTTCCTCCACTCCTAGTCTTTTGTAGGCTCCCTAAGTCCATCTTAAGGTAAACATTTCTCTTCCTCCTGATGTCACAGACGGCTTTGAGCTCACCTTTTACATTACCGAGACCCGAGCACACTACCACCATTGCCCTTGCCATGTTATATCCTTATCAACTGTTTGTCAGGCTACTACAAGACTGAGAGTCTTGTGCTTTATAGATCTTTGTATCCCCAATGCCCGGCACATAGTAGGTACTCAGTAAACATTTTGTATGAAGAATGAATTAACATTTAGCTTCTATAGAAGTGTACCTTCTTTGTTTCTATATTATGAAACCTCTTTATTAGAATTTGTGATTGATTCTGACACTGTGTATATTTACCTCATATTATCTTTGTTTCACATGGGCTACTAAGTCACTAGAAATACTCTGAGGCATAGTTAGTTGGAGGAATCACTTCATATTTGAAGACTCTCTTGGAATTGAAGGCATAGCTTGAGAGAGAGAGAGAGAGGTCATGGTATCATACCAAGCACATGGAAATGACAAATGTTATATGTTAAATTTTAAACACAAAATGAATATTTTTTTTTTGTAGAAGCAGAGAGGTATACACTGATTTTTATACTCTGTCTTTTGCAGGTGCTCTTTTTTGTTGAGTGGAGATGGGATAAGTACAAGATAGGGGCACAGGGAGAGCAATTGTAGATGATATTTTCCTTGTTTAGGAGCTGTGAGTTAAAATTGTCTCCTTAGTTATCTGGGAGAAAGTCAAAACTTGATAGAAAACATTTATCCTTGGAAGGTCAACTCTCAGACATTGTATTTTGGACTCCCGCAGTCCTAATCATTTTCTTTTCACTGATCATATTTTATTCTCTTTTTAGAGAAAAGAAAAAACACATTCTAAAAGTTTGATGCATTGGATAAATTTCCTTAAGGCATTTAGCAACGCATAGCATTCTTTTCCAAAACTTTTAGTCATAGGGTCTTTTATAGACAGGAATGGTAAAATGAAAATTAGAGAAGTGTAGGAGGAAAAGAAATGCTAAAAATATCTTTTAGGGAGAGGGCTTTTACTTGGTGTTCTGAAATCTTGGGAGAGTCTGTTCTTGTAAGGCCTTAAATGCTGTTGACTGTGTCCTGCACAAGTTCCCCAAGTAGCATTTTTTCTCTTGGTATGCTTTTGCTTTGGCTAACTCTTTTGACCTCACTCTGAATATAATGTCTAGAAAAGACTAGCAGGTAATTTTAACTGTCAAGTAACACATGATAACTAGATTTCGATTCCTCTGAAAAATGAAAATTATTTACTTGTCATAAATTTTAGACTTTGCATCTCTGAATTTAGTATGACAAGACATACCCATTATGAAAGTTAGAGAACATTATTTTTGTGTGATTTCTTTTATAAAACCTTAAGAGTACTTTAAGCCCCTTCTGCCAGACCCAGTGAAAACTAAGGATATATGTTTTTAAAAAGTGGAGGTCTCCTAATACAGAGAACACAATCTGTCATTGTTATTTAAGTAATAAGACAGGAAATTGACCTTGACACTAACTTGTTAAATAGATTTAAAAGGAACATCTGCACATCTTTTTTCCTTGTGCACTATTTGTTTAATTGCAGTGGATTAATACAGCAGGAGAGCCACATTATAACTAGGCAATTATCTATTCTTCAAGACTTAGTTATCGTCACACTAATTGATCATTTAAGGCATAAGATAGTCTAGCATTAGGAACATGTGAAGCTAATCTGCTCAAAAAGATCAACAAATTAATATTGTTGCTGATATTTGCATAATTGGCTGCATTTATTTAATGTTTAATTGGGTTGATCAAATGAGATTCAACAATTCACATGTGCATGAATATAAACAGAACTGATGGCACTTAAAATGATAATGATTAACTTACTTTGCATGTTCTCTTCCCTTTACTTTTTTTTAGTTTTTCCATTTCAGAGCAAGTTTGTTAGTTTTTTCCAAAACACATCAGTAGAAACCAAGATTTTAAAATGAAGTGTTAGGACTTAGATAAAACCTAAGCATTCCCTAAGGAGATTTGCTGTTAGAAATTTTCTTTGTTGTAGTCACTTATTAAGGATTCAACTCAAGATACACCACAAGAAGTGTTGACTTCAGGGATGTGTACCATGCTGTCTAGTACAGGAGTGAATAAATGTATAACACCTGCTTTAGCCTTTGCTTTCAAAAGCACAAAGGAAAAGTAAAAGAGAAAAAGAAGTGATTGAGAAGCCTTGTTAGGGAATCATCTTTTTTCTACCTGGCTTTTTATTACCAGGTTTTTATTAAAACTGGTAAACATCTTTTCTCAAAAGATTACAGTAAAGAAGGAAAAAAAAGATGAGAGGCAGGCAGCAGCAAGAAAACACAGTGAAACATCAGCTGTTTGGTGAGATGCGATCCACTCTCCTGAAGATGAGGAAAGCCTATGTTATACTCCCTGGGTTAAAATTCTCCACCATATCAATTTTGTTGCCTGATAAATTAAGTAGTCTTGCTAGCCTCAAATCCAAGCACTCTTGGGTACTTGAGGACGATTAATGAGTATATATCTTGGTCAAAAGAATGGTAGGCGCTTTTGATTAAAGCTGCAGTTTCAGTTCTGCTTTAGGGGAATTGTGCTATGAAAGCAGCTGCCAAAATAAGCTTATTTATTTTACCCAGCTTCACTCAGTGCTCAATCACTGTATTCTGTTCTCTTTTTTCAAGCTGTATGTTTGATTTACCCTTATGATTGGGGAAAAATGTATTTTCGGCAAAAAACAATATTTGTTCACTTTCAATGAGTGATATTTTCTAACATTTAGAGCAATAGATATTCACCGGATGCATTAAGGCAAAGGACTTCAAGGTTAGAGAAAACCCCTTATTTTATGTCCTAATTCTAAATACTATCAAAATACTTTCCCTTGTAATGTGGATTTCTTCTTATGTGGATATGCAAAAACTTAAGTTATAAATGGTAATGCTAGCAAGTAATTTTAGTGGACATTTTATAACAACTGCCACTTTGTTTTGCCACAAGTAGAATTTGGTCAGCTATATATTTTCCAGATATCTCTCCCAAGAAGAAGGCGAAGGGTACCAGCTTTTCAGTAAGCATCACCTATTGATTGACAATGTTCATGATGCACATTTGTGGTTGAGCACCCACAAATGTGCATCTACCCCATCCAGAAATAGGGATTAGGAAGTTACTTTTAGAAAATAAATGGTGTATAGACATTGCCCTCATGGAGTTTATAGTCTATTACTTGAACTGATTTTGGCTATAAAAGCAGTGCTTAATAATTCAATCACAAGTAGGAGAAGGCCATAGCACATCTCTTATCAAGAAACCACCATGGCCAGGTATGGTGGCTCTTGCCTATAAAACCAACACTTTGGGAGGCTGAGGCAGGAGGATTGCTTGAGCTCAGGAATTTGAGACCAGCCTAGGCAACATAGCTAGACCCTGTCTCTGCAAAAACTTTTTTTTAATTGAGGAAAAAAAGTAATTCAATGAACATTTTCATCTCATTTTTAAGGCAGATTTATCCCTTTAAATTCCGGCCTTTAGTGCACACTACTTACAAATATTAGTACTTAGGGTTATTTAGCCATTGTCTATCTGGTGTGAATGACCTCTTTCTTGTTTACTATTTACTACCAACCTAGTACATTTGTTGAAGCAGTGTTGAGTTTCATGGTACATCTAACAAATGAACACCACAGATTATAGCATCCTTGGTGATTTTCTTAAGCTCAAAGCTGGATTATATTGAAATAAACAAAGAAAATGATCCTAGATTGAATTTTTCTAGAAAATATCTATTCTAAATCATGTTGTTTAAACTGTTAACTTGAAGGTGATGGATCAAGCTACTCAGAAAATAACTTTCAAATAACCATGAGTCTTCACAGTTAGAGCTTTTAAATAAGAAAAGCTAAAGTATTGCAAAGAGATTAATTTTTATTATTGCCAAAAAGTCCCTTTAAAAATACAGAGGTAGAAGAAAGTTATTTATTTTTCATCTTCAGCATACATACCACAATAAAAGACTTCTCAGATATTTAATTTGGAGAGATTGGTAGTGTTTGTGGGTAAGTAAATCCCTGGGATGAGATATATGTAAACATATTTTCTTTAGTAAATGATAAAGGCATGAAATTCAGTCTTAGAAATTGAAGTGCTCTTTAAAATTTACTGGGTACAAGTTTTGAAGACTCGAGTCATCTTATTCTGTCTGAAAGTGTATTTTCCATAACACAATAGTCCCAATTAACAAGACCTAAAACTCAAACTACACACTGCTCAGTTTATATAATCTACTGTTGGGATGGTCAGTATTGTTTTAAGCTGTGGTATAGGAGTGAATTAAAATACAGTTTCACTGATAGATTTCTCTGCATATCCACTATTACAGTGGCTAGGTTCCTTGTTGCTCATTATTGAATTATAGAGAAAAATTTAATGAAAGAAGATGTCAGAGGAAGAAGAAACGAAGGTAGAGAAAGAAAGGAATAATAAAGAGAGGAGGAGGGCAATTTACTTCTGTGTTGTCCAAAGGAGCCTTTTCCTTTTTCTGCCAGGCATTGGGATCTTCAGCTTTTAACATGGGTGTCAATACAAATAGCACCATTAGAAAGTGACTAAGTGTAGTCACAGTTCATGAGATAGTTCATATTATTGGGGTGTGATTACTACTAGTTTGGAGGAGATTTTATTTCATAAATTGCATAGCCAATAGGATCTATTGTATCATCTCTTTTTTTGTTTGCTTGTTTGTGAGTAGAGGTCTTACACTGGAGTGCACAATCATGGCTCTCTGTAGTCTCAACCTCCTGGACTCAGGCAGTCCTTCTGCCTCAGACTCCCGAGTAGCTGGGACTACAGACACACACCACCATGCCTGACTAGTTTTTAAAATTTTTTTGTGTGTGAGATGAGGTGTTGCTATATTTTTCAGGCTTGTTTCAAACTCCTGGGCTCAAGCAGTCTTCCTGCCTCAGCCTCCTAAAGTGCTTGGATTACAGGTGTGAGCCACCACGCCTGGTCCCATTGTATCATTTCTTAAGCTATTTTATTCTAAGGTTCACAAAACTTCATGAGGCTGAATACAAGAATAAGTGACAAGGAGTAGATTGTGGCTTCCCTCCCCTCCCCTCCCCCTGCCTTAGAAATGCTACTTACCACTATCCTGTGAAGGTTAACTGATTTGGAAGTTGGTTGAATACTAGTTTTTAATTAAAGTGTGCAATAGCACGCTACAGGTTCCTCAAACTAATTTGAACATTGAAGTGATTCTCAGGGTTCTGCCTCAATTTATACTTCACTAATACGTTTTTAAAGAATGCAGGAATTCTCTCAAGAGTATGGCTATCTGTAGATTTGGAATGAGTTCTTTAAAAAATAAGCTCTCTAATCTCTATGAATCTATAAACTTTGCAGGTGTTTCCCTGATGACTTAATAACAATGATCCCACAATACACCCAGCTAGCTGGAGCCCAGCCCACTGTTTCTAAGAATTTGTGCCTACTTGATATTGCCACTGAGGGAAAATAAGTCATTTGAGGAAGTAGTTTTTAGATTAGAGCTTGTATAGATAGGAACAGAATATCAGGTCAACTGTGAAATTTTAAAAATCTTTTCTCTTGTATCTGAATCTGAGGGAGTTACTATTGCAATGATAAGCCCCAGCCATTGCAAGTCTCAAGTTCTTAGTTGAAATTCTTTTTAAGAAAAATTGAGTAGAATGAAATAAACACTTGGAAAACAAGGATTGGCTTTTGTGAAAGATTGTTTAATGGTTATATTCAAAGGGTTTTTGCTCACTAAAAGTGTAATACTGGAAATGTGGAAAATAGTAGGTAAAGGAAACTACCTCATTCTTTGAAGGTTTTTTAGAAGCACAATTAAACATTCTCAAATGGCTTTGTTACACGAGCCATCTGGTGTGAAGAACTCTATATTTGTGTGTCGAAAGGACCTGGAATCATTGTATTTTGCTGGCAATAGACACATTCTCCATTATTTGCAGGTTCCTCATCAAATCTGTAATTATGCACAGTTGCTGTCATCAATAAAACAACTTAAAAGAATCCTGTTTGTGTAGTTTCCTGAAATCGGCATTGTTGGATGCATGAAATAATAATGCTTAATTAGCATTTTTATGATGTCCCAAGATTTCTGGACAGGGTATGTAAATGTAGTGTAGTATTTTTAAACCAGAATAACAAAGAGCATTGAGCACAACAGAAAGATCAGAAACCATACAACTGGCTAGAGTTAATGTCTCATTTTCACACATTTGGAGAAGAAATACAATGGGCACTTAAAAATCGTTCTGCCCCCGGTTATAGATTTATCTTTAGGAAAATTTAGCTTTAGATTTTGGGTTTTGCACAGAATGAGGGTAATAGATTATCTCTTCCCACTTTTTGTCATAATGGATCTACCTCACTGACAAAACTACAGTTAACCCATATGTGGTTAACTGACTTTAGAATGAAATAAACTTTATGAAGTGCAAGGCATTCAGTCAAAACCTAGAGAACGTTAATGATGTGTCCCTTTTAGCCAAAACCAGGCCTGTATAAGTCCCCTTCAAAAGTACCATGGGAGAGTAAAACCCAAATGCAGATATAAGGGTCACATATTTTGTATTCATTTTCTTAGAATGTACCCAAACGATTGCAAGTACAGAAGAATCTAAAGTTTTTCAAGAAGTTACTATAAACTGAACTTAAAAGTGTCAGAGTGCTTAGTGACCCTTTACTCCAGCCCCTGTCAACCTGTGAAAATATTGACCTTTATCAAGATCTCTCAAGAAGTTACGTGCAGTGTGGAAGGTCCAGGCGAAGGTTATTAGTCAAGTTGTCTTACAGTGTCAATGCTCAACTCCCACAAGCGTGACAAAGAGAGATCTGTCATTCCTGAGGGTGATGACATACATTTACTGGAGCTTATATGATTTATCAAATGAGACAGCAGTCTCCTTTAGGGTAGAAAGTGTCTTTTCTACATTGATTTATTAAGAAGCAAAAAAAAAAAAGCCAGAGAATTTCAACTTTCATAATTATTTTTCTGCCAAGCAGATTCAATGTGATCTTAAGCATATTTTTCAAATCAAGACTCTAGTCTCAGACACATGACATATCACATGGCCCTTGAATCATGATAATTTATTTTTAAGGGAAACATGCTATGGTAACCTGACTTTATGTATAATGGTGACAACTTGCATGGTTGCTTTCTCATAACCAAAAAAAAAAAAAACAAAAACAAAAAAAACAAAAAAAAACCCCCACAGCCAAGACATAGACCTAAGAAATGTCTAATAATCACTGGACTTACATGCAACAGGTACAGTGTTGATTGAAACCCATGGTCATTCTCTCCAGAGGTGTTTGTCACTATGCCAATAGGGAGTCTGAAAAATTTATGAGATGAAAAAATAAATTTAGAATTGAAAGATTCATGTTATTTTTATCCCAAATGCAATATGTCAGTTTTAAAAACTGAACTGATTAAAAAGAGGAGATTAAATTGCATTTGTTTTAAAGATGGTTACATAATCTAATATACATCTTTCATCAAAGATTCATTCATTCATGTTAAGCAGAAGTGGTACGTACTTTAACTTTAATCTCTGGCTTCTCCCAAGCCATAGTGGGACGTCACAAACCAGCTTTCTTAGCATGCAGGGAGTCTAATAATTAAGAGAATGGTGAAGAGCCATTGGTTAACCCTGTAGTCTAAAATAGGTTTCTTAAATTGGCAAAAAAAAAAGGAGGGGGGGTCATAATAGTACCAAACTTACTGGTTATAAGGATTAATGAAAATATGAGGCTCTTACAACAGCTCCTGTAAAATGTGATGGAATTTTATTAAATATTTAAAAATGAACCCGAAGACAGGAAGGGTCTAACACCTAACAAAAGTTCTGTGTGAAGAAGCTGTGGTGATCAGCCTCTCCCCTTCAACATGATGGAGGTGGTGCAAGTTCCCAGACCCAGAGCACAGGTATTTGCTGCAGGACAAGAGACACAATCTAGTTTCCCCAAACCGCTGAGAGTGATTTAGAAATGTGCGAGCTACTCAAGCCTGGAAGTAAAATTCAGGGCTAGGTGAAGCAACAATTGATACAATTATTGAGAAATAGATGTTTTAGCTTTTAGAAATGAGTCAAGTTCCACATGAGTAAACTGTGACGGTAGATTTTATGTATGAACTCAAGTAGGCTATGGTGCCCAGTTGTTAGTCAAATACCAGCCCAGATGTTGCTGTGAGGTTATCTTTTCGATGTGATTAAATTTGAAGACTTTGAGAAAGGCAGGATCACCCTCCATAATGTGGGTGGACCTTATCCAATTCATCAGAGGCCTTAAAAGCAAAGATAGTTTTTTCCAAATAAAAAATA